TTGTAACCAAATTCAAGAAGGGCTTTTACAGCAGGTTTTACCATTGAAGTGTATATAGTATTTGTGATAACAAAAATTGGCTTTTTCTAAAATACAGTTCATATTTACACAGGCATTTTATGTTGCGAAATGTAAACACTATCTTGTGCCATATACAAACACACACATTCTAGTACATGTACTTGAAAGTGTATGTCAATATTTGCATCCAAATCTTTGTTCCACCGTCCACGGCTTATAGCTTAAGTTCACGGAAGCTAAAAAAAAATGATGTCAAAGCCGAATAAGGGTTTGAAATAGTCGGTGTCTAACGGGGGCTCAGGGACTGAGATTGCGCTAGGCCCTGGCCCCAAGGAAAGAGTGAGGACTGAACACAAACGCATGGCTGTCGGATTGCTGATGTCAATGACATGAGTTAGGCCTATGCAATCGCTCTTTAGTCAATTGAAACGCCATTCACTAAATGATATTTAAACATGTATAATTACTTCGGTTCAGTTGGTAGTGGTATTAGATTGTAGTTACTGCTGTTTCACTGTAGGGTGTAGTTTTGTACAGTGGCGTAGCCAGGGGGGGGGGCCGTGGGGGCGACAGCCCCCCCCCCCCTATGAAACCTTGTCGCCCCCCCCCCAACTGAGATTTTGAGTTTCTAAAAAAATTATCATTGATCTAAATGACGCCCCCCCCCATGAGATGTTCCAGCCCCCCCCCAGCGCCCCCCCCCCCCCCCCCCCCCCCCCCCACTGAAAAAAATCCTGGCTACGCCACTGGTTTTGTATATAGGTATTTTGTGGGAGGTCCCATAAAATGGGAACCAATTATATAGACTGATATCCGAGGTGCCCACTTTTTGTGATTTAATACTTGTACCTAAGGCCAAAAAAAAAAGTCTCCGGTTTCTGGTATGGAGCTTGCCCCAAAAGTGGTGCGGCGACGCGCCTTTTTTTTTTTTTTACCTGTTTTTTTTTTTTGGCTTCAAATGTCGGCTGATGACTGCAAATGGTGCCCGACTAAACTTAGTGCAAATATATGGGAGTCCAGAGAGGCCACATAAAGCTTATTCTCGATTATAACCCCTTCTAAAAACACTTTAAAATTGTGCAGCAGCAGGATTCCAGTCAAACCAGTGAGTTTGGCGGTTTTGAGACATCATCTTGTATCCGGTTCGTTAGTGTGACGTCACCTCCAGCACTTTCTGCACGATTGGAACCGGAAGCTAACGCAGCTCGAGCGTTTGCAGCCAAGGGGCGCTAGTAATCAGGGGTGTGCGCGCGTGTATGACGTTTTTACTAACGAACCGGATTGAAAAAAAAACTTTTTCATTTTGCCGACGCACATGACCGGCTACGGCGACGCGCGCGCATACCAGAAACCGGAGACTTTTTTTTTGGCCTAATGTACTCAGGCATGCAACTGGGAAATCACAAAAAAAGAGGAAATTCAAATTTTTCCCAGACTTTGTACAGTGTTTTTCTATTTTCAATGGCACACATGGGAAGTAAAAAAAGAGGAAATCAGCTGATCCGAGGAAAAGTTGTATGCCTGTGTACTGGGCTTGGCTTTCGACTATAGGCCTACTGGGAAGCGCCAAAGTTCGCTGCGGCGTTTCTCACAGAGCATTCCCTTTTTATTAGTGACGCATTTAGAGCTATACACTATACGTTCGTGTTATATGAGCGTTTAGGCTTGGAAGTGCCCCAGTAATGGCTATACCAGAACCGTCACCGTAATTTCATAATCGAATTGGTGTACATAGAATTATAGTTCCCGGTTGTCATTATTATTTTATGTTATCAAGTATATAGTCAATGACCACAATGCGCATGCGTCAGTTGATATCGGAATGGTTCACGGACTGAACTTCCATTTAAAAAAAATCCTCCATGCTAAGCCATGAATGAGACGAAAAGGCTAAATTTCATTGTATCGATCATCGGGAGTTGATGAAACACAATTTAGGGAACAAAATTCACTTTTGGGTGGAAAAAAGAAAATGTAAACTTCCCTCCAGGAATTGACCCCCAGCATTCAGATCAGCGATGTTCGACACAGACCACGCTGACCGTAGTGGAATATGCTATAAAGGTTGCAGGCCAGTAAATCGGTCCGAAATCGCCTACGCCGGCCAAATCACGATTTGCATGCCCTCAAATTCTTCGCTATTTGAGCATATTGTGGGCCGTGAACTTGACGGTCTGTAAAAAATTTGGGTTTGAAGCCGTGCACAGGACTGTGAACTTGTAGTTCTGTGCAATTTGGATGAAATTGGAGCCCTACAAGCGCTCTATTTTGCAATGGAGTGAGGCGTCGTTTTTCAAAATAGCGATGGGCTTCAGGACCATTTTAAGGGGTGATCATCTTCGGATGGAAATTTCTCCTAAAAGTCATCAGTTAACCCCCGAAAATTGAAAAGAAAATTAAAGATGATGAAATTAGCTTTAATTTGATGCATGTGTGTCTGGAATACCTTGGAGAGTAGCGAGTATTTTTCCTGAATTTTTGAAGTGGGGGCATTCATCATTGGGGTCTATGGCAGTTTATTTACTGGTCTGCAACCTTTAGAACTTATTCGGAATCAGGTGACATATTTAGTTGTTCACGTGATATGTTTTACGCATGCGCATTATGGTTATTGACTGTGCGTACACAGTAACTGCTTCCGGTTGGCACGTGCGTTAATTAATCGGCTACTGTTCATAATGATACATGTACAGGTTTCAATTTCATTTCGTATTGTAAACATCATTAGCAGTATACATGTAATTCCTATGTCATTCATATATATTTTCTAAAAGCTATGATGAATACTAATAATTTCCAAGTACAATGTGCTTTTTTTATACCCGAGTTGAAATAAATTAAAGTAACACACATTTACTCAAAGCATGCACACAGATCTACAAGTAGAACTCGTAGATTGTACTTAGAGCTGATATGGCTGCTATTTCAACGAGGCATTCTTATGACATTGTATTAGTACATGTAAATAAACTAAACATTATTTTCTTTTATTCACAGATTGATAGGACATTCATAGACACAGAGTTGGAATAATAAACGTGCTACCGACCGTGCCACAAAATGAGTGAAACCTGAAGTCCCTCAAAATTTAACACGAGGATGAAATTTTAAAAGGATTCTTGCAAAATTACATTTTTCGTACACAAGTTGCGATGACAAACTCGTATACAATCTCCACAGTCTTTATATCCGCAACGCCCCTAAACCTGTATGCTCATCGCTCAAGGCGCCACACCCACGCCCCGCATTTTCAAAACCCTGATGCGTGCACATGGGGTCTAGCAATTAAACAGACAAGTACAAAATGCACCGGACTGACTTACCCAAAACTTCGTCAGCCCCCCTGCTTGGGTCTCCATTTCAGCGTGTGTTGCACAGACGACTCGTGTTAATGTAGCTGAAACTCATCAAGATCCAAGTTTGCAGGCAAAATGAGATTGGGAATTGAAAATTGCCCATCCGGCGTCCATGAAGCCCAACTGTAGAATCTTTGACTAACTCGCATACATGTACAATGTAGGATTTGAGTTTGTAAAGACGTACATACATTGTAAACGTGTACTGCAAACACACGTAATCAACTGCCTCCGAACACAACTTGCATTAGCTAAGGAAAGTTATGCGATGTACAATGTACACATTTCTATTGTTTGTAAACATTGAGCGCCATTTTGTATGGGTGGGCGCAAGTGCATTTAATTGAATCCGTGGTTGGCAACATATTTTCCCAAAAAAAGAGAAGTCCTCATAATACCCTTTATATTACATAAGAAAATAAAGCATGTTTCAGGAACTATTTTGTAGCGTTTGTTGATAATTTGGTATTTTCAACATTCAAATAATATTTTTGTAATTATTAATAACAATTCTTCATTGTTGCAGTGTTGGCGTTCCATAGTTTGGCAACCCGCGGTTGCCAAAATGAGTGCCAACCACGTGTCGGCAATAGAAATGTCTACACGTATACTCCAATGGCATTTTGTCAGAGTGTCCATCCCCCCCCCCCGACATCAGTTGTGTTGCGTAATACGGACAAATAGCGACTTCATATTAAGTAAATAATAAAAAAAAAATTGTAACGCTTGTATAGCGCTTTCGGCCACGAGGTAGCCGAAATCAGCGCACATTCAGTCCTCTACCCTAGGTATACCCATTCATACTGGGTGGAGAGAGGCAATTGTAGTTAAGTGTCTTGCCCAAAGGCACAGACACCATGTTCCTGGTAGGGTTATAACCCACGCACCATTGTACATTGTACATGTACGTGGGCAGTGGCGTAGCAAGGTCATTTTTATTGGGGGGGGGGGGGTTAACAATTTTTTGAAAAGGGCACTTGCACAGTGGTGAAATGTAGACGTTATTTTCTCGCAAGACTTGGCCCCCGTACAATCCAAAAAGCGGAAGGGGGGAGGGGCTGTTACTATCTGTCGATGGGGGCGCTGTTCGTAACCGACGATTATGTATACACTAAACGGACAATATGCCATGTGGTACGTGCTTTTAATTTCAGGGCGAGACATGCGTGAAATACAAAAAAGGCACCCGGAACTGCTGCTGATGGAACAAAAAAGGGCACAACTTGTTTTTAAAAAGGGCACTTAATTGTTCAGAAAAAGGCACGTCTTAACAAAAAGGGTACTCTGTACAAAATATGGGGGGGGGGGGGGGGGGGGGTAAGCACTGGTGAAAAAGGGCATTTGAATGGGAAAGGGCACTTTAAAAAAAATAAATACATGTACATGTAGCCCCCCTCCCGTCTTCGCCTATGAGCTAATTAGAATTACGTCAAACAATTAAGATAAAGTATGCTTGAAATCTTGTATGGATCCTTTGAAAACGTAATGACTAAACTCTGGATGACGTGAATGCAATGCACTTTGTACACCTTATACAGTCATGTACAGGTATACTAATGTATGATACGGGTACAGAATGAAATGCCTTTTCTCTATTCTTGACCTAACACAGTTTTCAACATATTACAAGTCAGTGCAGGCTTCATTCAACTTTATTCCATATCAATTTGAATTACAAACACTCTTAGTTAAGATATCCTGAAAAACATAAATCCCCAATAAAATACGCAAACAATCCCATAAATCGATTAAATCACACTCTTATTGTTTAAAACCTGTACAGAAAAGAATATCAAGAATTATTTCTTATATGATATTGGTTTAACAACACCATTAACCACAAATTCTAATTTCAGTTTGTGAGAACCCCAATGATTATCAACAATGCGAAATTGCTTGGGTTTGAAAAACAGATACAGTATGTAGGTTTGAAATTATTTTGCATATTGCTCCAAAAAACAATTCACCTTTTCATAAATCTCCAAAATCAAGTTCCCTGCATAAAATCTCAAGTATTGCGGATAAAATCATCACCAGATACATTGTAAATATTGCATGTACATTTGTACATGTACAAACTGTATCTATACTGTAGAAAAAAGTACAATTTACACAGATGTACAATTTCTTCAGTTCTCATGGGATTTCATCATAATTTTCAGTTGAATCATCAAACATTTACAATCAAATTAATGTTACATGTGTACATTTTTGTACATTTAGATGTACATGTACTTGTGTCATCCCGAATATTACTTCAATTTCTATGGAGGCCATGATGCATTGTGGGAATACTTTCCACCCGTGTCAAACCGTGTCCCCCCTCCCCCCCCCCCAAAAAAAAACCCCACCAAATTAAACATGTACTAAATTTAAAAATGGGAAAGAAATAACACAAATTATCTGGACTCAAAGACAACATCTCTCATTGCACGGTCTCGGACCGTAGAAGTCCGGCTGTTGGTGGAGGTTGTCTTGGGTGCTCTCATGACCGGTTTGTTCAGCATCTTCTTCAGTTTGGCCTCAGACTCAATATTCACATCTTCCTCAGCTCTGTCAAAGAAAAGCAAGAAACAACTGTTGGATTTGGTAACTACACTAAGAATTGCATAATCAAATTAAGATTTTGTGTGCAAGGCATTGAATAGTCGGAAACTCCCGGAATTTGGCAACTTCAGTTTTGTCTCCAGTCTCCAGCTAAGCACGGAAAATATTTACTCAGCAAAATTAGGTAACCGGCCAAAATTTCATGTGTTGTGCAATTGCGTGTGGCTGGTACTCAGCTGATTTGTGCTTAGGACTCAAATTTGCTGGCCAGCATTTTCTGCATGGCAGCTCCATAAATTTGGTTCAGCTCAATATAGCTTCTTTTCCTGTTAACTTTGAGAAAATCCAATACCATGTAGCCAAAGCCTAGATTGTTTTATTTGCTCTTGGTTGTAAAAGATTGAGCTAGAGATTTAGCTGAAGCTGGAGTAAAGCCAAGGTTTTTGTAAACCTCAACGAACTAAGTCCTCCCAAACTTGTGCAGTTTGATGTAATACACCTGCCCCTTCAGAGATAAATTTGTTAAGTAATTAATTAGATTGATGTATCTATTCAACGAGCTGCAGAGTTTTAGTTTCCCTTTGTGTGAAGCCCTCGAAACCACCACCTCCCATGAATATTCACCAGTGTGTCCCCTGAAAATTAGAAATGTGAAAGTTGCAGGAATTGATTGATGTAGGCCTACACTGAAAATTAAAAATCAAATATGAACAGAAAAAAACATTAAAGGTGTGTTTCAGTTAGTGACCCAACCCTCATAATTACTATACCATTCACCAATTTAGTTTATGAGACAAAAATGCACTTTATGGTGTTGAGACAATAAGAATATGCACCAAGTTTTTAATGCAATCTTCTCTTCAGCAGAAATGGGTGTCAGTGATTTTATCCCAAATGATCTTTGACCTTGACTACTTTGTCATGATACAGAACTGGCTTAACTTCTTTGCAGTTCCGAGTACATTGTACCCTGCTGTTCCATTCAGTAAAGTCAAAAGTGTCAAAGCAGGTTGAAAACTTGTGTTCCATCCAAAATGCATTGATGTCTCACAAATATCCCTTCTGAAATTTAAAACTGTTTAAATTTCAAGGAATGCTGTAAAAAGAAAGAAAAAATCACTTACTCTTGCGGTTAGGGAGGCGTTAATACAGACCAAACCAACTTTGTGCAGCCACTGCAAACATCAAAATCTCTTTAGAAGTTAAGGTGCGTGAAGTGCAAATTATTGCTTCCATAGGAGTGAAGAAGAAAAGGGTGCATACCAGCATTGAAAGTTTAATGAAAGATGTAATTTTATAAACGAGAGGCAAACTTGGAGAAAGACTTCTTAATTTCATTTAATATTTCTTATGAATTAAAGATTCAATCCAATTTAAGGTAAAGCTACATACAATGACATGTACATGTATATATGTTTGTACATGTTCATGACTTCATTACTTTCAGTAATGAATTAATAATCAATACAATACGCACAAACGGTAAATAAAAAATACAAGTATTGTTAAAAACTATGCTACGTGTACTCTAACTTTTAGGTACAATTACGTTTATCTTTTATATGTAAGAAATATAAATTGTCTTTAATTAATGTTATCTTAGGTATGCAAGAAATAAAAATGTCTGTACTGTTATCTTACGTATGTAAAAAATAAAATTCCTTGCGGTTAAGCAGAGGACAGAAGTGCACAAAATAAAAGATTAAATCAGGTTTTGGCTGTGCTGTAGTTCCTTTGAAAAGATTCTAAATACATTGTGTAGCATTTCCAAACAGTTGATGGAAATGTTAACAGCTGGATATGTTTTACTTTTGTGATATGATAAAAAAAAATTGAGTTTAATGTATTTATAAATTGGTTAGGGAAAAAATAATCAAAGAGTTTGGATGTTTTTTTTTATTGAGTTTTTATGCCCTATCACTGTTTAATCTCCTGTCATTGCCTAATGCATTGCTCGAATATCTGATGTTTCTTTTGATCCGTGTAAATCGGAGGCTTGAAATTGTTTTGATTCATTGAAAGATCGCATTTACTAAAAACAAGTAGTCTACTGTATTAAACAAAGTTATTTACAAAAAACTATTTCAACTATGGCAATCATGCACAATATTATAAATACATGTAATTTGAATACTTTTTTTCATATATTGATAGGCCTATATCATACAATTGTTAAAAATATGCAGCAACTATGATGTTTCACTGTCATACAGGGATTAACATAATATCAAGAAATACAATAAGCAGTTTTATGCAACGCTTGAATAAATTGCAATTATCTGATTAGTATGTCACTGAAGTATTCGTCCCAACGCACAGCGCGGCCACACTGCAAAAATAGAAGCTCCATTCCACAGTAAATAGAACTCCCATTCAGCTCTGATGGCTCTGTTGCTAAACATTTATATTACCGGTTTACAAGTTAACAAATAGATGACAAGGTTTTGTTCAGGTGTTGTATAAAACAAATAATGAGTGTTTCATATTCGTGCAATGGAATGAACACTTTCATTCAGCGACAGATGGAGTGTTCCATTCCACATTCAATCTTTAACCTCATGAAATTATTCTTACCATTGCACTCATAAACAGTCATTATTTGTATAATATTCTGACAAGATTCATATCTTCTCTGCAGATACACACAGGTGCAAACTTTGTACAAATGTACTGTACAAGCGTACATGTGTCTTCTCCTGTCGATGCATCCCACTCAGTCATAAACTTTCCTGAACATCGGCAATTTGGAAATCAAACCATGCAATTCCAAGCCATTTTACTCTCGCAAGGAAAACTGTGCGAAAACACCAGCACCCACAGCAATCTTTCCAAACATTGTAGCAGCTCTGTTTTTATCACAGGCAGTTTGTTGCCGACCGAAGCTGTTAATAAGGTAATTAAATCACACCACCGGCTGCTGGATTTGAAAGGTAGTGCTACCCAACACGACGCTTTGTGTCTTTGGTTAGAATCCAACTGAGGTCCACAGAGCCCAAACCAATCAAGGGAACGCAATTGTTAGGCAGTGCTAGTCCATACCACGCTTTGTGTCTTGGGTTAGAAACCAACTGAGGTCCACAGAGCCCAAACCAATCAAGAGAACGCAATCGTTAGGCAGTGCTACTCCACACCACGCTTTGTGTCTTAGGTTAGAATCCAAGCAAGATCCACAGAAGTCAAACCAACCAAGAGAACACAACCAAGCAGATTTCCAGGATGCAATCGGTAGTTTACTTACGATTTGACATCTTGTCTGTACATGTCCTCTGCACTCTTTGGGATCAAGAACTCGTTGACGCGTTGCACCGTGCCCGTCCTGTCTTTGTAATGCTGGCGGTGCTCCTGGGCAAGCTAGATTGAGAAACAACAAGGTCATTTTATAAGCACACAATTAAGTGTACATGTATGTACATGCACAGTAGGTATATATTAACTGCCAATGCTTTTTTTTTTAAATGAAGCTGGCAACAGCTGAATGAAAGAAGTTACTAAAGAAAAATTAGTTGTAAAGTTGCATCTTCTATCAACGAAAAGCAACATTATTAACCCTAACCTCCCCAACTCCATCAAAATCCATCCCCCCATTTAGGTGGATTTTGGGGGACTTGGTCCTACAGACCTGGTTTGACTAAACATTGATGGAAAATGATGGACTTGGTCCTGGAGGCCTATAAAAGTAAAGCATGCATTAGAAGCAGTGTGACTGATGGATTTTGGCGGACTTGGTCCAGTACCGGGTACTTGGTAAAAAGACAGTAGGGAGTTAGGGTTAGTTATATGTTGAATAAAGTCATACGCATACTTTGTACGTTATATTTTTTCGACATGCATTTTTTGCCAAATCATTAGTAGTAGTCAAGTACATCACAAGTCAATCACAAATATTGGTGAAAACTATTATTTTGATTTTTGATTTCTGGTACTGAAACCAAGGATTCCCCAAGTGCACCATAGGCACTTTACCTCGCAAGCCTGAAGAAACCTGTAGAGAGAAGACAGACAATGAGAAGAACATTCTGGGGAAAACCCACGGAATAAGGAAGGGACTGTAAACCCAATCCTCATATTGGCCCAGGCGGGATTCGAACCCGGGTCACAGCGGTTGAGGGTGAGGAAAGTACCACTATGACAGGAGGGGATGGACCTTTTCAATGGAATGCCTTGTTAGAGGTCTTATGCACAGAATAGCAAGCGACTTGACTTGAGACTGAAGGACTTGTGATGGACTCGCAAGTACGTGACATTTCTGCAGCATGTATTATTATTTTGACCCGTAAACGTGGCTATATACACATTGTGGATACAGTAATTGCCATGCTCCGTTCATATATATGGACTTTCAAAATTTCTTTAGAATGACAGATCCTATGCCACTAGAAGTTCTTGGATAAACTCTTCTGCAAGTACTGAACATATAATGCTCGTCAAATTTCGGGACCGTAAGTGGAAAGTCTCCAATCAGGATTTCGAAAACGTCAAAAGTCCAGAGATTATGAATGGTGCGTGGCTATGTATACAGCCAGGTCTAATATTTATCAGGCTTTACTTTGTCAAATTTGTTGATCTCTTCTTTGCGGTCGTAATTGACATTGGTCAATTCATATTTCGGTGCTGTCCGCCACTGTTCACGTGTCCGGTCCCTAGCATGGATGACTAGGTCGGGATTGTGGGTGTAGACTGTCGGGAATTGGCCGCCTTTGGCGTAGTTACTCTTGCTCTGGTTCAGTGTTTCCGAGCGGTAGTCCTGGAAATACTTGGCGGTAGCATTGCCGTACGTTTCGCCGTAGTCAAACTTTGTGGTTGGACAATGCCCTTTGTACCTGTCATAAAATAAAAACAAAATAAAAAAATGACAATCAATAAATAAAATGAAAATGTTATTTGGGCTTACATGCTGTTAGAAAAATGATCATATCATATGAAAACGACTCAGCCTCATATTCATAAAGAAACGACTAACTTAAATTTAGGCCTAAATTATTTGGAAAAACACGGTGCCAAGTCAGTAAGTGTGAGGGGAAGTCTTAAAATTTTAAAACTGAATTGCGACCTGGTACAGTGGTAGTAAAACTTTGCTGTGAGAAATTAATAAGGACCCCTTTTAAATGGAAATTTATTTTAAGGAGAAATTTGTTGGCCACAGACTACAGTCAAATCGCCACACTTTGTTTTGCAATATTTTGACCAAATTTTTCTGCACTATACAGGGATTTTTTACTTGAAATTTTTACTTACCCTGGCATCATTCGAGGCGGAACATACGTCGCCTGGTGCGTAGTCTGAAGTGTGCCTGCACTTCTCGACATTTTCAGACAGAAATATTGCAGTAATATTTGACAAAAGTGATTTTAAGTGAGTAAAGCGAAGACGTGCTGTCTGTCCGTTCTCTCGCAACCGAATGCGGAAGTGAAGTGTTTATCCATCCTGTGCACATGGTGTTGTTTTCACCGCATCACAAGACAACCCACTATTTATATCAGTCCGCTCTTCGGTGGAGTTTGCATAAAGGCATTAAGATTATAGCTAATTATATTTAAAAAGACTTTCTGATATTATTTTTAAACAGAATATGGTTCTTTAATGACGAAAAACTGACTCAGTTTTGTTTGTTTGGAATTATTTTAATTGCGTATGATTCTGGGTGTAATTAGTCATAGCAACGGCAAGTTGCTAATGAAAACGTTCAACTGCTGACGTTGCGGGCGCTGTTTGATCTATGGCCGATCGTCTGCACTGGGACGAAAATGGCTTCCAAAGGGAAAGGCAAAGCGAAAAATACTAAAAAGGACAAAATTGTTGAAGAATTACCACCAGCACCAGAGGAGAAGAAAGAAGACGAATCAGAGGAGAAGCAAGACGAGGTCGGAACGGAGGAAGGGACAGCAGAGGAGCAAGAACCGCCTAAAGAACCGACACCTCCACCCGAATATGACGAACCAACTCTGGCGGAATTGATCGTTGAAAGGTGTGTGCACGAGACTCTTGGATTCGACTCTACCTCTTGACGTAGGCCCTATACTAGTACTCAGCAGTTGGCAGTATAGCCCGACTGCGTCTGGCCGTACAGTACTATCGCAAGCTCTGTAGTACGGCCAGACGCTGAATGCTTCCAAAAAGACTGAATTTTTGTGGCCGCCGATGTAGCGATTTTGCTACATCTTTCGATCGCAATTATCTTTTCATCCAGGGCACAAATTTCCAAAGTTAAGGTTCGTAGTCGTAGAGCAACTCATACCTTTTTGAAAAAACGTTGTTTGGTCTCAATATTTTCATCCATCTGGCCACAAGACGAATTTCAGTCATCAGATTCCACAAATATCGTCCCCCATGCGATCCCCCATGCGATCCCCCATGCGATTTCAAAATGGCGGCCGCGCTGTAATGTATGCAATATGCAGGCGCGCCCGCGCAAACTCATGAATATGCATAAACAATCTGTGACGTACGACCTTGTGTTTTTGGACGTGCGTGCGGCGGGGCCGTACGTCCAAAAACACGAGGTCATACGTCACAGACTGTTTATGCATATTCATGAGTTTGCGCGGGCGCGCAGGCATATTGCATACATTACAGCGCGGCCGCCATTTTGAAATCGCACGGGGATCGCATGGGGGACGATATTTGTGGAATCTGATGACTGAAATTCGTCTTGTGGCCAGATAGATGAAAATATTGAGACCAAACAACGTTTTTTTCGAAAAGGTATGAGTTGCTCTACGACTACAAACCTTAACTTTGGAAATTTGTGTCCTGGATGAAAAGATAATTGCGATCGAAAGATGTAGCAAAATCGCTACATCGGCGGCCAAAAAAATTCAGTCTTTTTGGAAGCATTCAGCGTCTGGCCGTACTACAGAGCTTGCGATAGTACTGTACGGCCAGACGCAGTCGGGCTATTGGCAGTAGTGATCGTGGGGCATTTATACCGAGCAACCTTTGCTTTTAATTGTAGAAAGGGCTTTTTTTTTTAGTGCGTGTTAGTATGTAAACACCGTCAATCGTGGACCTAGGACAAACGTACTCCTAGAACTATGAGGCTCCGCGTGAGCGGAGCCTCATAGATGTAGAAGCCCGCAAAATTGTCTGCAGCACAAAACACTAATAAAGTACAAAAAACGTCCATCAAAATGCAGACATTTCACATAGAACCGCTGCACAGTTTGCCCCTATTCTCCGTATTTTACCTCTTGACATACTCACGTATCTTGGGCACAACTAACATAGGTGGATTTTGTCGGTTTTTAGGCCAAAATGATGAAAAATATGCCCTTTCCGCACTGAGCCAACCGAACACTTGAAACGTGCACGCATATGATCGAGCGATGATTTTCGGTTCGCTCGGAGCGCGCCGCGGGGGGTACGGTACAAGGCGAAATGATAGTATGTGCATGCGTACAAGTGCATGTACCGTACCCCCCGCGGCGCGCTCCGAGCGAACCGAAAATCATCGCTCGATCATAATGCGTGCACGTTTCAAGTATTCGGTTGGCTCAGTGCGGAAAGGGCATATTTTTCATCATTTTGGCCTAAAAACCGACAGAATCCACCTATGTTAGTTGTGCCCAAGATACGTGAGTATGTCAAGAGGTAAAATACGGAGAATAGGGGCAAACTGTGCAGCGGTTCTGTGTGAAATGTCTGCATTTTGATGGACATTTTTGTACTTTATTAGTGTTTTGTGCTGCAGACAATTTTGCGGGCTTCTACATCTATGAGGCTCCGCTCACGCGGAGCCTCATAGTTCTAGGAGTAGGACAAACGGGTTGGGGCACAAACACCTAGTCCTATCCTAGCTAGGCCTTAAATCAATTAACATCAGAAGGCTTACGTCCACGATCATGACGATTGACCGAACGTCCAGTATTGAAAATTTGTGTACAAAACCAACAAATGAGAGCTGTTGCTAAACAGTCAAGGAATGAGGATTAGGGACAATGGGGGGGGGGGGGGGTCCATGATTGCCGGTGTTTACAAAGATGCTTAAAATTGTTTATGGTGTAAATCGAGGACAAACACGTGCAACATCTTCGATGAATTGAGGACAGGAACCAAATTGAGGACTCGGTTAGAAAACGTGTACAGAACCAATGTCATGAGCTGTTGCAAAGAGTGAGAGTATAAACAAACGAAAAGGGAAGAGGAACAATTGAAAATCCTTGTGTATTAGTTTGTTTCTGCATTCAATAGAGGACGTTGAACAATAGAGGACAATAGGGTCCCCAATTCCCGAAGGTCCCCAATTCCCGATCGTGTACAAATTATGGGAGATCTTCCTATAAAGTTAAAGTACAAACAAAAAAGGGACAATAGGGGCAACTGCAGGCAAATTGGTAGCCCCACTAGTGTGGCTCGGGTATTACAGCGCAGCAATATCCTAGCTAGCCCAGGTTGGACAACGTATTCGTTGCATAACGACTAATGTAGTGCAGTATAAAGGAAGTCCACCTGGGTTGTATTAATTATTTTATTATCATGAACACGGAATGGGTAGCCTACACTAGGCTACAATACAGACAATTACATGATTTTTTTAACTGTCTGTCAAGCCTAGTAATAAAAACAATTTTAACAAAGAAGAGAAAAACCTAGATATTTCACTACATTAGTAAACAAGTTTTGTTTCTTTGTCATAGTTTTGAAGGTGAAAAGGTCCGAGGTTTGTTTGATGGCGAAGGAACAGCTTACTTCAGTGGCGGCCATGTATATCAGGTAGGCCTGCATCCAATCTTAATAATTGTTACCAGGTAAAAAAAAGGTGTACAATTAGGACCCCTTCATCATAAGTTTCTTTTATCACTCCAAACTGACTTCTGCAACCCCAAGCAATCTTCCTTTTCCTTATTTTTCAAGATTTGCATTTTTCAAGTAGATACTTCGTGAATCAAAATAGTTTAATTTGGTGCATTCACTATGCTCGTGCCTTAGCTGGCACTTGCATCATCTTTTTGTGTTGTCATCAGTTGTCATTTTAACCCGTAATTTCCCTCCGAATTGAAAACACTGCCCTCTATCCACGAAATTTCTGTTGCTTTTTAATATCACCAGCTAATTTTTGTGAGCTGTTCTCAGCGCAGTTAACAAAGATTAAAAAACCAATTTTTAAGCAATAACTTGATTGCATTTTTGAAATTTCAGGGGCAGTTTTCGCAGGGTTTGATGCATGGCAAAGGAGTGTACACATGGAGCGATGGCGTTAGATACGAGGTGAGATATGATAGAAAAACACATTAAGAACTCGATAACACAGTGTGAAACTGAGAATTTCTTCCTCATCTTTGTGGTAAAAACTAGAGAAATGTACCTTATGACGTTCATTCTGAGTTTATGTTAATATGGCACTGATGGTGTAAACCAATTACAGTTCCCCACTTTTTGTGACTGTACTACTACTAGTACATTTCATGACCACTTGAACATTTGCATACATTTGCATATAACATTTGCATATAACATTTGTTGTTTATTCATATGCATTCTTCATAGCTCTGAACACGCCCCTTAAAGCGAGTGCATTTTGTGAAAAATGCACTCGCCTTAAGGGGCGTGTTCAGAGCTTTGAAGAATGCATATGCAATGACTGCTCAAGAATGGAAGCCTCCTAGTATTAATGGCTACCAATGATTTCACTGTACTACTACTAGTACATTACATGACCACTTGAACATTTGCATACATTTGCATATAACATTTGCATATAACATTTGCATATAACATCTGCATTTGTTGTTTATTCATAGGGTGATTTCAATATGAATGAAATCACAGGCAAAGGGCTGTACACCTGGCCAGACAAGAGCACTTATGAAGGAGAAGTCTTGAAAGGCCGACGACACGGACAAGGAATGTTTAGGTGCACGTCAACACCGTCGTCGTACACCGGCCAGTGGAACAACGGCAAAAGACATGGAACTGTACGTTTGTTATTGAGGAGGGTTTAGTGTTCGTGTTCATGGGAAATCTTTACCCTAACCCTTCTTAATTTTTTTTCCAAATGGGACATTCTATAAATTTTGTTCTGTTACATCTGACATCTATGATTTGATAATTCTCATGCACTCCTTAATGTAGTCGTCCTACAAGTTTGATTATAAATAGCAAACTACCTACGCAAACAAATAAAAAAAATCCTTTGAATGGCAAATTATAAAGTACCAAGGTAACAGGGACAGGAAAAATGTCACACTTTGGAAGCTGAATTCATAGAATGACTCACAGTCAGTTGGTTTGGAAGGAATTTGCAGAAGTAGGGAAGTTAGGGTCCACTTTAGTTTGCATTCGCTTGGGTTAATATAATCCTATGGGCTCCGTGCATGAACAAGAGAGTCCCGTGGATTGGACACACCGCATGCACACGACTTATTTTATTCCCAATGTGCACTTGAATGTCTCTCTTACTTGAAACTCTCCCTTTCTTACCGTTGAGGGGGTATTTTTGCGCTGAGCCCTTTCAAAATCGTTCAGAATCTACAAAGAGTTTTTTTTTTAGGATTTTGCAGGATTGAGGAAGGTAAATATATACCCACCTTCACTGAACGTAGGGCTTGGTCACCCTGAAAGTATTATGTATTTGACTGGGTTAGGGTTAGAACCAATGGCTTCTTGTTTTTAATGCAGAGGTCTCAAAAACATACTTGAGTCACCTGGCCAATTCAAATCAGTAGGAATGCAATTAATGACTTTTATTGGAAACTTTCATTCCTGAAGCCGAAATTCAATCCAAAGTCTTCAATTTTTTTCAAAATTTTCTGCAGGGTATTATCCGCTACGACCTAGACGGCTTGTCATTCTACGAAGGCGACTGGGTGACCGACATGCGGCAGGGGTACGGCGTCCGGCGGTATCGCAGCGGTAATGTGTACGAGGGCGAATGGATGGCCAATAACCGCCACGGCCAGGGCATCATGAGATGGGTAGACTTGGACCAGTCCTTCAACGGGCAGTGGGTCAACGGTGTGCAGGTAAAAAAGCAGTGTTGTAGTCTAGTTAATCACAAGTCTAGTTTTTGAAAATGCACTGATCAAGTTAAACATGCGCTAGCCTAAAGTGGCTTCCGTGGCTAAAGTGGCTAAAGTGGCGATCGGTATTTGCGTGCACCTGCACTTGTAGAAAATTGATAAATGGGCTTATTAAATTAATATAAAGAACAAGTAGCGGTGGCTGATATTTAAAGGTATAGTCCATCATTTGTAATTTCTGCATTTTGTCTGTTTGAAACAACAAAAGTGCTCAAAATCTAAAGAAGGGTGCTGAAGAACGAACCTGATGAAGTTTCAGCTCAGCCTCAGCTGTATATTCCGAGAGAAACAGCATTCTAGGATCTCGATTTCAAATCAAAAGTTGCTGAATCATGTTTCGAATTGGGCCTGAATTCAGCGTCCGAAACACGTTCTCACTGAGCCGATTGCGATGTCGCGCACCTATCCGACGAATTATAGCAACCGTGCGCGCACGTGTGCGTCGTGCCAAAGCTGCGCCCGCTTTGCGGAATAAGAAAACGAACTACTGACGGAAATTTCCAATGGTGCGTCTTAAGATGCACCGTTGAAAAGGCCTTCTTTCGTTGATTTCTTCAAATTGACAGCTTGCCAGAAAGAATAATTTCACAGGGAGTTACGTCCCCTTACTATCTTTCAACCAAGTATGTTTTTCAACAATAATTGCATCAGTTACTCTTTGGATAGCTGCAAATGATGGACTGTAGCTTTAAAGAAGAAATTTGACTTACTAGTTATCATGCAAGCTCTCAAATCTGTGCAATAATGACTTTCAACAAAAGTGTGGCATTTGACAAACAATAGAACCACACAACATATACAATTTCATCATCTCCTAGAGACTGCTCCCATTTTTAGAATATTTGAATCAAAAATAAAAATGCAATTTGGATATTTGGTTGACGATCGAATATCCAAATATTGAGCATATTCGGCACAGCCCTACTGTTCACATTATTTAGCCACGTCAAAATGATTCTTGGTTACAGAACGGCCACGGAGAGCACACCTGGTACCTGCGCAGGTTGCCCGGTTCCCAGTACCCGCTACGCAACCAGTACATCGGTGACTTCCATCAGGGCTTGAGGCATGGCTACGGGGTCTTCCTGTATGCAAACGGTGCCAAGTTTGAAGGGGAGTGGGTGGAGAACAAGAAATGCGGACGGGTACGTAATGCACAGCCTATACTACTAACAGAACTTGCGGTGGATTACAAGTACATCCCAAGTCTGATCACAAGGATAGGGATGATCAATAACAAAGGAAAGGAAATTAGTTCATGAGTTGAAATTGGCGTCAAAGTCTTACAAAATAATAGTTTCATTGAAGTACCCGCTGCTATATCCGATTCGAACCAGCCAGCTGACCCCAGCAAGCTCGGTGGTCGAGTGGTAAGACGTCTGCACTAGTAAGCAGGAGGTTGTGGGTTTGAGTCCCACCCGATTGATTTTTTTTCCCATCACAATCACTCGGGGGCAACACTGAGTATACATTGTATATAAAAATACGTCGGTGAAGGGCAAAACCAAAATTTTAATTTACTTCACCCCGACGCAAATTCCATCTTATGATGAAGAGTTTGCTTAATACAGAAAATGTTTAATTGGTTTAATAAGGTTACCAGCCAAGCAGTCCATGCAATTGATATAGCTTTTGACTGGTTCTCAACTAATTAATTTTGTTCTGAGCACGTACATTTGCTAAGCACCATTTTGTAGTTTTTTTGAAATTGAGCCAAGAGTGTCGGCCAAAGCTAACCCAGTCAGGTTCATTTCAAATTCGAGATTAGCCTGTCGTTTAAGTCCTTGATTTGTTTTCTTGTTGTCTAGGGGTTGTTTACGTTCAAGAACGGTCGTATTTTCGAGGGAGTTTTCGTGGACGACAGAATGGCAGAGTACCCAGCCTTTAGCATGGACGGCAACAACACGCCTGACATCAGCAACATCAGAACAAGGACACCGGATCCGTCTGGCCCAGGTCATTGAATTATTCAAATTAATCATAATAAATAATAATACCAGAGTCTTATATAGCGCACGTATCTACCAACAATTAGGTACTCAAGGCGCTGGTAATTATGTCTATTTTTAAAAACGGGTAAATGAAGTTTATGAGAAATATGAGACCCATTATGTAGCACCATTATAAGGGTTTACAAGGTACTGCGGCGCATATTGCAGCCACTGCCAGAAACACTGGGGCAAACCCTTTAGCGATAAGTGTTAATGGGTTCTTTAACGTGCATTACACAACGCACGGGATTTACGGCTTTATGTCCCATCCGAAGGACAAAGCAATAATGGTAAAGTGCCTTGCTCTAGAGCACAAGCACCATGTTCCCCGTCAGGATTTGAACCCACGTACCACGGTACACGAGTCGAACACCGTAACAATTGGACCTCAGCAACCCACAAGAGGGTGTTTTCAAAGTCGTGACTTTGTCTTGGCCTCAGCTTTAGAACGGAGGTCATCAGTGCATTATGGCAAAGCGATAGAATTGTACCCTGATCTGATTTCTAGCAACATCTCCTAATGTGACCTACTGGTAGGCCTACACATTATAGACTGTGCGTAATAGACTGCAAACCACATGCACAATCGTACGGTGGGTTGACGTTGGTCGTACCGGGCACAGTGACTCTGCAATAACATTGCACCACATGAATTTTTGAAGTGTTTTATTTTTTCTAGTTTATTTTGGGGTTTTTACAAGATGGCTTAACTGACTCAACCCAAGAATCACAAATGAAAACCAAGACCGACCCGTCTCGACTGAAATGTTGGAAAAATCAACCCGAGCGGGTCGGGTCGGTTGGGGTGGCACAACATTACCCTACGTCAATGGCCTAATATCTGAACCCAAATCCAGAAACAGAGTAAAGCATTCATAAAACCCTACGGTTATGTGATCCCTGGCTACATGGCATATACAGGTTTATGGCCTAGGAATAACGTCACTTCAACAAGGATATTGACAAAATGGGGATCCACCAACATAGGGCTGGACAGCTCAGTTGGTAAAGCCATGAAACAGCGATCCGTTGTGGCAGGTTCAAACCCCACTCCAGTGAATAACACTTTCTTATGTGCTGAAATGCAGGGTTGGGGGATATAACATCCCGCAGTGATGCCAGTCGCAACACTTTAGGCCCTAGCCTAACCCTGGAGTTGGACCACCTACTGAACGACTTCAGTGAGAACGACAGAGAGGAAGAAATCAGACAGGTAATTGGCTAATCAGATCATGTGACCTTATGATCCAAGTGAGACATGACCACTACAGATAAGAACGAGACAAACACAGCTGTTTCGGCTGTTTTTAAATGGCTTTGTGGGAATTGTTTGAGTCGTATCTTTATTACCGTCTTCCCTGCAATGGCCGAATTTCCAGGCAGTCTATGTACATACAAAATTTCAAGTTTTTACATATAAACAAAGTTTCAATTCAATTGGACCTGTAGTTCTGGCGATATAATGCTTGGAATTATGCACCATGATAATGTGACTTCATGTGACGTGCGATGACGTCATCGTGACGTCAGTACATTTTCTCCTATAACACATCCCTATCTATGTGCGTACAAAGTTTTGACTCAATGGGAGGTACAGTTTTGGCGATATAAGGCTTCGAAAAGTGCATGTTTAATGTGAAGTCACATGACACAATGATGTTGGACTTAAATATAGCTCTATACAAATGTCTCAATGCGATTTACAGTTAAATCCGTGTTCACCCAAGCCACAGGATCATTTTTATCCCACTTTTATACCCACTAAATACCCATCGAAAGCTTATTATTGCAGTAAAGTGTCTTGCCTAAGAACACACAGCGCCTTGCTGGTCACTATTGAATTTCAAACTAAAATATATTTTTATGTTGCAGTTTGAGATCAGTGCAGTCTGGTCTCTACCCTCACTAATATATCTGTGTGCAGAGATGCAATTGTAGTAAAGTGTCTTGCCTAAGAACACAAGCATCGTGATGGTCCCTGTTGGATTTCAAGCCAAAATATACTTTTATGCAGCAGTTTATGTTCAGTGCAATCTGTTCACTACCTTCACTATATCTGGATGCAGGGATGCAATTGTAGTAAAACGTCCTGCCTAAGAACACGATGGCCATGATTCCGTATTTTCATGTCATAGGTAATGTTTGTGGTTTTGCGTCACATCACGACCTTCAAGAAAGTCTACAATTTTTACGGCAGTCTTGGTCACGACGCATCTCCTGATAACACATTCATCATGACCAGGCTGCAGTTTTGGCGATTCTTGAAAGACTGTCAGTTCCACTATAACGATCTAACGCTGACAGAGATGGATAGAATTTTAGGTGAGTAAAGCTTCTAAGCTAAATTGGTAACCAAAGTTTCTTGCTTATAAAAACCTTGGCTGATTACATTGCACTGCTATGAGTAAGCATAAAAGCTGTGCTTACTATAGCATAAAATTGTGCTATTACCTTAACCAGTTCACGTCAGATGACGTGTATACACGCAAAGGTTTTGCGATATTGTGGTATTCGGAACAGATAACGGATAAACACGCAACGAGCGAGGCCAGAAATATCTGTCAGCGTCCCGCTTGCACCAAGCGAGGCTGGAAATATCAGGGTGTGCTACCCGCAGATAATGGCCTAACCCGTCTGGCATCGAGGTTCGTGAAAAACAATCCCTCGTCTGAGTCCGGTCAATGTCAAAATAACCCCAGCACGAACTGGTTAAGCACTATTTCGTGGCATGGATGTGCTAACGATTGCGCGCACATGGAGATTTGATTGTTACCTCACTGATTTAAGCACATTTTCTTAGAGGTTAGCATGCCTTTCATTGTGCTTACTGCATACAGTCTCCGTAAAATGGGTGGCGGCTTTGTTAGCAGAAAAAAACATGCTTAGCGGCGCCATGAAATTGAATGTATAGTATCCACTGAGCTGAAAACCTCAACAGGTTTAGTTGTTATGCACCCTACATAAGATTTGGAGCAATTTTGTTGCTTTAACCCTAACCGAACTCAACTCATCAAAGCCCAACAGCAGGTTTTGTTGAAATCTGTTAGGATGGGTACAGTACGCCTAAACTGATGGTCTTTTACATTGGGTTTGGCATACCTCCAGAAACTAAGTCCAACAGTGTGTGTGTACGATTTCCCATGTGGGTGTTGGAATTTGCCAGGATTGGTACAGTTCCTAGTAAAATATGCCAGGGAGTTAGGGTTAAACACTAAAACAAAACAAAATGCACAGAAAGCAAATGATCCTACATACCTTTAAGATGGCCTTGTGTTCTTTTTATTCGTGTAGCTCCCAATAAGACTGCCACAGACATCCACAATCCTCTGGACAAGCTGCTCATGAGAGAGTTCCTGAACAATCTGATCACACTGTCCTACCAGATCTACCAGGAGGAATGCACGTAAGTCAATAAGAAAAAACATAAATATTTTGATTTCACATTTTATTGGATCAGTGTTTTGTAAACAATGTCTAAACAGGGTGAACCAAAAAAATGCAATTCTAACACATTTGCCTTTAAAAAAAGGGATCGGTGGAATTTTTAATGTTTTTGGTATCGGATTTAAGCTGAGAGCTTTTTCTTTCAAATACTGAAAAAAATCAAGAAAATAGCACTTTGGGTCGCGGAGAAAATGCCAATTATGTAAAAGTAGTCATTTTTCATCCTGTTCACAAGTACTTCGAACAGTGAAACATTTTAATGCAAGCCTACTGTGCAATTATCCTTCATTTGTGCAATTTATTTGGTATTTTGACATATTTATGATGCTGAAAGGGTTTCAAATAGGACTTAAAAGGATGAGATACCTGTTCAGGTGGAAAACAAAAGGTATTTCCATCAAATTCATTTGCACTCTGTCATATTATGTGCCGTGTTGTTTGTAAGGATTAGGACATGCACTAATAGGTACAGTGCAAAATCCCTTACTGTGGTAATTCTTCTGTGTACAGGATGAAAAATTACTACTTTTACATAATTGGTATTTCTCAGCAACCCAGAGTGCTATTTCATAATTTTTTTGAATATATGAAAGAAAAAGCTCTCAGCTTTAATCTGATACCAAAACCATGAAAATCCACTGATCCTTTTTTTTTTAAAGGCACATGTTTTAGGGTTGCATTTTTCGGGGGTCACCCTGTACATCTTCAGTTTCAGCTCAGATTTTGTCTCAGTACTGACGGCTCCGTGCTTGAACAGCAGATTTTTTTATCACCTTCAGAAGCTCCAGTGGGGGGAACACACTGTGTGCGCGCACTAGTTCACGTGCGTACAGCGTGAAGGAGGCATAGCTTGTTATATTCTGAGTGTGCACAAAAACGTAGCATCTTTGCACGTGAGTGTCAGACGCCAGCACGGGCGTTAGAATATCTCTCCCAGTGGTCTCCCCCAACTCTCCATTTCTAATACCGTTGAGGGGGGTACTTGTGCAGGTAGCCAATAATTATCTTCTTATTGTCTTTCTAGGAGTGAGAGCGGCACGGTGCTTTCATGGTGTCTGTCCAAAGCCATGACGGACAACATCGTGCCGGCAGCCTGCGACGTGCAGGGGACGTTCCTATACGAACCACGGAGAGCCGTCAATGCGCTGGGATACATGGACAAATGCTGGGAGATCTACTGTTCAGTCTCTTCTCCAAACAAGGTAAAAGTGAGGACATTGAAAAAGAAAGAAACAGATTTTGTAGTCCAAGTCCTCACAAGTCAATCACAACTCTTTGGATTTCAAGTCACAAAACTATTTATTCCAATGAAATGTGAAAAAGATATTACTTTGTCAATTAATAGAGAGTTTCGACAGGTTTAAAATGTGCACCCTTATCATGTATTCGTATCAATTTCGCGTTTGGCCACATCACTGTGTGCATTCTCATACGTGATTCGGAACAGTTCTATGGAAACTACATGTGTAAGCCGCCTGATATGGGAGCAGTACGTATAAATTCTCACTATTTTACACCAAATTTGCGCCAAAATATACGTCTAATAGACCCCTCTCAGTCATAGACAGCCATCTTCATAGGAAAATTGCAACTCTGAATTCAACGCCATCAGGTACGTGTGTGCGCATGTACGCACAGTGTGCAAAATGTTCTTAAAATGCGTGCATGTTGCTCGAAATTTCCTCGAAATATGGCACATCCGATGCGCGTCACGCAAATTTGACTCCCAAAATGCCAATGCACGTGACAATCTGTAGGCAGTGGCATTATTTGAGAATCATCTTTAACTTCCCGTTCTTTGAAGGGTGAATTTTGTGGGATTGTAGCGATTTTTAAAGCATTTTGTGTACTTTGCTGCAAGATGACGAAACTGAATTGTGAATGCCCTATCACGTATATGTATACGTGTGATGCCACAGGATACATGTACGGATACTTAACATCTTTCCCAGATGCCGGAACTCTCTAATATTCATCCCCTTTTGCTTGTGGTTGGACTTGGAATGGACTAACTCTCAGACACAAAGTCGGACAGAATTAATTGAAAATGTAACAGGGGCCTGATTTCTCGTCATTTTGCAAATCATTCTTTCTAAGCACATACCTTACGAGCCAACCCTGAAGATGCGACAGTTCCTGTACATGCTGAAGGACTACCGACTCATCAACGACATCTTGACTCCCAAGAGAATCCTGGAAGTTTTGGCAGCCGACGATCCGGGGGCCTACGATGCTCACGAATGCAACCTGGAGCTGGAGGTAGTAGGGTTTCCTACAGTCATGGAAAAATCACAGATAAACATAGCGCTGCTTTAGCACAAAATTTGCTTAAGCACAAAAAACCTTGCTTAAATTTTGCTCAAGCACAAAAAACTTTGCTTAATATTATCAGGTTACCGGCCAAAACGCCATGCGATGTACATTGCTTGTGACTCGTATTTAGCTGTTGTTTACTTAGCATAACAATCGCATGGAGCTTTGGTCGATAACCTTATATTAAGCAAAGTTTTTGTGTTTAAGCAAATTTTGTGCTTAAGCAGCTATATGAAATTGGAATTCAATGCTGTCATTGAAAGTCATGGAAAATCTTGGAATTTTGATAGTGTACAAGGAGTCATTGATAGTTGATATTCGGGTGGTTTTGGGCAGTACAGGGGGTAACACGCATGGAGGTTTCAGACGCTACAGTGACTAAACGGCTTATATGAGTACTAAATGCTTGGGGTAATTCTGAGAGCTCATGAGAAAAAAATACTCGATTGAAACTCAAACCCAAAACCTCATACTCACTTGTCTCTACCACTCGACTTGGTAGGTTCAGGTATAGTCCGAAAATTTGGGACTCTCAATACTGTGTATGAGAGTCCCAAAACTTAAGGTATTGAAAACATGCTAAACAAGAAAATAGACTGGCACCTTAAACAACCAGTCCAACACAGCTTCAGTACTGCATCAATCAACCATGCCAACAGAATTTAAGAAACATGTGGCATGAAGCGGGAACTAGTCTCAATTTACTATGTACACATTTCTCCATAGTCAAGCCACCAGACTATTGACACTGAATGAAGAGGTCAGTCTTTTCAAATAGTTGGACCATGGTTGGACATGTACCAGTCTAGTATTTAGCCCCATTTTGATATCACTTGACTTCCCTCTCATGTGCAAAATATTGAAGAAAAGTCTCCTTCAAAAATTGAATTGAGTCTGCAAACTTGGTTAGTGAAATACTGAGGACATTTTCTTTGCCCCAGTGGAATATTTGGAGAAATTTGCTGGCTAAACTGTGAGTAAAGTGGGCCTGATTTAGTTTTGCACGTTTCAGAGCACTCCAGAGCCCTGTCTGGTTCAGGTATAACACTGGGTACTTCAATCACTGTCTTGTTTATGTGCATATTAGATGACTTTCTTGGAGTTCTTCGAGGCACTGATAGGCTGTGCCATGATCTACGTGACAGAAGACATTGTGAAGGACCCTTCCACTCCGAGACCTAGTACCGTCATATCCCATACTCATAGTAGCTTCAGTGCGACCACTGCTGCATCAGCTTCAAGGGCTAGCCAGGTAAGGCCAAAAAAAAAAAGTCTCCGGTTTCTGGTATGCGCGCGCGTCGCCGTAGCCATGCGCGTCGGCAAAATGAAAAAGTTTTTTTTTCAATGAAAGATGATGTCTCAAAACCGCCAAACTAACTGGTTTGACTGGAATTCTGCTGCTGCGCAATTTCAACGTGTTTTTAGATGGGGTTATGCTCGAGAATAAGCTTTATGTGGCCTCTCTGGACTCCCATATATTTGCACTAAGTTTAGTCGGGCACCATTTGCAGTCATCAGCCGACATTTGAAGCAAAAAAGTTGGGTAAAAAAAAAAAAAAGCTGCGTCGCCGCACCACTTTTTAGACAAGCTCCATACCAGAAACCGGAGACTTTTTTGGGGGGCCTAAACAGATAGATATTAGTGCACTTCCTGCATATTCATGAGCTACCCATGTAAACATCAGACGTTTTACATAATGCGAAAAGAATGTTGGGAAAGAATGTTGCAACCTGACGCCATTTTTTTTCTTCATATATCATGCATGTCAATTAAGGTCAGTCATTGCAAAAATGATGACAGGACATAAATATGGGATTGAAAAACATTTCCAATTTTGTTAGATTTTCTTCACTCTCCATAGACTTTGTACACAATCGCGGAAGTGGCGTCAGGTTGCAACATTTTCTCCGAATGTTGCAACCTGACGCCACTTCAGTGGTTGTGTACAAAGTTTATGGAGAGTCAAGACAATTTCCTAAGTATTTCCTAACAAAGTTGGAAATGTTTTTCAGTCCCATATTTATGTCTTTTCATCATTTTTGCAATGACTGACCTTCATTGACATGATATATGAAGAAAAAAGTGGCGTCAGGTTGCAACATTCTTTCCCAAAATGCATATTCATGAGCGAGATTTAATATACCCTTGAAGGCTAGCCGTGTAAACAGCAGAAATTGTACTTTATTTTCATGAGCTAGATTTGTACCGTTGAGTGCTAGCTAGGCATGTTAACAGACATTAAAAAGTGTTTGAAATCGGATGACCACAAGTGGATATTTCACTTTTTTGAAGACAATTAATGTTGATAGGCTTCAAGTAAATTAGTTTATTAAGAAAAATTGGATCCTTTATTACTTATCCATGTTACTAATTAATTACTTCTGAATTTTGGTGCAACTATTAGGGCTACGATTTCAGTTAATTAATTAAAGTAATTAATAAAGGAATTTGTTGTAGAAAGCAAATGCAAGGCAAGCAAGCAAGTCATTATGAGAAATGGTCACAGTGAGTGGGTTAGCTTATGGTAAAAGCACCATAATACCGTTCATACTCTGCGCGAAAGTGAAAGCGAACGCGAATTTGTGACGTCGTGGCAAGTATTTGTGCTGCGAATTCGTAAAAGTTGACACATTTCAACTCGGGCGAGTTTCGCAGCGAATGCTTCGTGACGTCAAATTCGCTTCGCATTCGCTTAACTCTACTCCCAACCCAGGGGGATTTGACTGAGTTGTCCTGTAATAACAACTTACTTGCTCATTACATCAAGGCTTTTCCTTGCCACGCCCAGGCAAAACCTGCACAGCCCTCCACAGACAACCTATCCCCAGCACAGCACCCAGCAGACTGAAGCACACATGGCTATTTCAAATTCCAGGCACATGGGGCTAACAATAGCAATTATGCAAATGCAAGCCTGGCCAGACTGATACACACTCAGCTCTGGGGGTGTGAAGGATGAGAGGGGCAGGGCTAAACCAAACATTCAAGGCGGGGAGGAAGGTATTGATGAGGGGCTATTTTCATTACAATATTCTTTTATCTGACAGCCACTTGATGACAGTGAGGAGCAGGGTACCACCGGTCCCGGTTCCCCGCATCACACGGGAGTGACGTCAGAATCCATGTCGCCCGGGCCTAGGGTTGCCTCATCCACCGATGCAACCAATAAGGGATCAGGGTTGGAGCTATCTGCTGCAAAAGTTGAGGTTAATGAAAATACATGAATTATTCATGAATACCTCAGCCAGTTGGACGTTTCTGATTGGTTGGTAGCCTTGCGAGAGTTGTTAAAACTAGTCAGTAATAAGCGTGGCCCCTGAACCAGTACAAATTTCTGCTCTCATCATTAGATAACTTTTCATGAAAGAAATACACCAATGTGGATGGGTTTTTAAACTCAGTAAAACTTGTCATTAATAAACATGGCCCCTGAACCTGGACAACAAAGTTCTATTTTTTTCGTCTTTAATTTATCTTTCATGAAAAAATCGTCAATGTACATGGGTTTTGAAACTCGGGAAATGCAGATTATGATGAATTAATTTATGTCAGATGATTTCAGATATATTTTTAGACTTTACGTCAGTGCTAAAGGACCTTGCCTTTGGTTCTGTCCTCTACTGCCAGCCGGGCCCCTGTTTTTAAACCTCAAATTTATGACTTTAACATCATACTTTTATTGCCCAATTTGACTATTAATTACTAAAATTTTGATGTTCGGAAACAAATCAATTATCAAATCATATCAAAAGTTTTCGCTACTTGTCCTCATGACAGGTTCAAGGTTCTGTAGCGACAGGAAGTCAGCATACAGACGTTGGCCTAGACCCCAGTAACACCAACGTGGACCCGAAGGCATTAAAATCAGGTCAGACATCTCATCCCCTCAAAATGAACTCGAACTGGAGGTTAAAGCTATAGTCCATCATTTGCAGCTATCCGAAAAGTAACTGGCGTAATTATTGTTGAAAAACATACTTGGTTGAAAGATAGTAAGTGGACTAAACTCCCTGTGAAATTATTCTTTCTGACAAGCTGTCATTTTGAAGTAATCAACGACGCACCGTAGGAAAATTTAAATTAGTAGTTCATTTTGTTATTCGGCGAAGCGCGCGCAAGCATTGGCACGACGCACACGCACCCCGGTTGCTATAATTCGGATCAGTGCGCGATATCGCGTCGCGTAGCTGCAATCGGCTCAGCGAGAACGTGTCTCGGACGCTGAATTCAGGCGCAATTCAAAACATGATTCAGCAACTTTTGATTTGAAATTAAGATCCTAGAATGCTGTTTTTCTTGGAATATACAGCTGAAGCTGAGCTGAAACTTCATCAGGTTAGTTGTTCAGTACCCTTCTTCAGATTTTGAGCACTTTTGTTGCTTCAAACGAACAAAATGCACAAATTACAAATGATGGACTATAACTTTAAGATCCAAGTTTGGGAACTCACTCAGAATCTTGTGCGAGTTCGCGTTCGTTCCATTGAGTTGGGGTGATTATGAATTTCACCAATGTATTTTGCAGAATATTTTGGTCCAACTCTCTAGAATTCTTCAGACAGTTTGTGGACTTTTTACTGAAGCTTGCCTTCTGTCATACCTCTCGCAGACAAAGCCCAATAGACCATTATCATGTTGCGGCCATCTTGATTTGTTCCCCATTCAACTCAACGTAACCAAAGCGAGACTGGAAGGAAAAATAGTCTGGTTCCTTTTTTGCACAAAAAACATTATTATTCAGTAATGTTATTGGATGCAGGGAACATGACTGTAATGGTGGCAGCATGACAAAGGTATATGTGATAGATCGAGGTACATACCTCAGATTTGTAGAATTTTTTATAATGTTTCTCTCAATCCTCAGATGCCTTGGGTCTGGCTGCATCGTCCCACAGTGGTCCCGGAGCCCCCTCCATTGGAGGAGAGGAAACACAACAACCACACCTGCTCCAGTCCATGCTGTCCATGGGGGCTGAACAGAACGAAATGCCCGAAGGTAAGTTAGCTTGTATCAGTCAAAAAGTTAGACTTGCTACAATATTGTGTAATGACACACTTTTACAGACTTGTGATTACTTTGTGATTGACTTGTAATGAAGTTTGTGATTGACTTGTGATGACTTGTGATTAATTTGTGATGAACTCTTATGGACACGGATGAACATGTGGTGAATGTCATTCTCTTGTGATGAACTTGTGATGGACATCATGTGGGGTGCTGTGGTCCAATGGTTACGGTGTTCGACTCGATCGTGTGCCGTAGTATTAGGGTTCGAATCCTGTCGGGGATCATGGTCCTTGTGCTCTTGAGCAAGGCAGGTTACAATTATTGCTTGGTCCTTCGGATGGGACGTAAAGCCGTAGGTCCCGTGTGTTGTGTAATGCACGTTAAAGAACCCAGTAACATTTATCGCTAAGAGAAGGGGTTTGCCCCGGTGTTTCTGGCAGTGGCTGCAATATGCGCCGCAGAACCTTGTATACCCTTTATAAAGGTGCTACATAATGGGTCTCACATTTCTCATAAACTTCATTTACCTGTCTTTAAAAATATACACAATTACCAGTGCCTAGAGTGCCTCATTGTTGGTAGATACGTGCGCTATATAAGACTCCGGTGTTATTTTTATTATTATTATGGACATGAGGTGACTTGTTTTGAACTTGTGATGACTTGTGATTGACTTTTGATGACTTTTGTTGACTTGTGATGAACGTGATTACGACGCTGCCCCTAATTAACCAGAGAACTGCCCATTACCTGAAGATGTTGAATACTCTCTCTCGCAGAGGAGCCAGAAGAAGACATGGATGAGGAGACGAGGCAGTTCAACTTCTGGACCCATCAGATTCACATCTTCTTCATTCGCAAACTCTTCCGAGCTCACGAGCACATGAACAAACTCGAGGAGACCAAGAAAATCCTGCAGACGGAGAAAGAGGTAACAAGCAATTCATTCATTCATTCGTAATTATATTTTGTTTGCAAATGGGAAATCGATCAAAGGGAAACCGACCAAGTGCATTGTAATCATTTTTTAAAAAGTTGAACAAAGAAATTGACTGGAGCAGGGTTTGAACCTGCAACCTCCGGATTGCCTTTCCAGTGCTCTACCAACTGAACTACCCCGCCCTATGTTGGCGGTTCCCTATTGTTGCTAGTATCATGACTTTGGGCGTGATCCCTGGCTACATGGCATATATACAGGTTTATGGCTTCTGACTAGCACCCCTTGAACAAAGACATTGACAAAATGGGGAACCGCCAACATAGGGCTGGATAGCTCAGTTGGGAGAACACCGGAATGGCAATCCAGTGGTCGCAGGTTCAAACTCTGCTCGTCTTTTGTATTAGGTAGATATAGTATATTGACTTTTTTAAATTCAAAATTTGTTCTAAAAATGCTATACGTTCTGCTCTTGTTCCCGATGTGCCGCATGCTATTTGAATACCCCACAGAATCTGTTTCATCCCAGAATTGCCTGATCTTTGAATTTGCGACAGAATCGGCTCCTAGAAATTTCTCAGAAACTTAAATCGGCTCATCCAAAGATTTGATTCCTCAAAACAGTGGACTCACGATTCCGATTTTACATTTGGAATCAATACTATGGTTTCTGTGCACAAACATTAGATGGTGCTTTCTTACCCTTTTCGAAAAAGCCTCCGTGGGCAGGACACACTGCGTGCCCGGTTCGCGCGTGTATGGTGCAAAGCTCGCAAATGCACAAACCCGTAGTAGGGTCTTTGCACGAGCTTCAGGTGCCGACGGTGGAGCGTTTGTATGTCCCTTTCAGTGGTTTTCCCCAACTCTCCCTTAATAAACGTTGAAGGGTACTTGTGCACGGAGTCAAATTTCATGGAGCACAGAAATCTGCTAAGCAATATTTTCTGCCCGACTTATCATTTCACCGTCTTTGCGCTTTTCAGGCGGCCACTATAGAAGCCCAGCACCAGCGCGAGAAGAGGATCGCAGCCTATGAAGCTGCTCGTGAGGCCGAACGGCTAGCTGAGGCTAAGGCTAAGGAGCTCGCCGCAGCAGCAGCAGCAGCTGCAGCTGAGTCTAAAGACGTGGATTTGGACAGTGGCAGCTCACAGGAAACCATACCATCACCTACTAAGGGGAGATAAACCTCTACAGGTGCCCAGCGTATAGGTGTCCTTTTTAGAAGGTAGCCATTTCAAAGGTGCCATTTCAAAGGTGTCAATTTAAAGGTGACCATTTCAAAGGTGATTATATATTAAGGTGACCATATAAAAAGGTGCCCATTTTAAAGGTGTCCATTTTTAAAGGTGACCATTTCATAGTTGCCCATTTTAAGGTGACCATTTAAAGGTGACCATTTTAAAGGTGATAATTTTAATGTTGACCAAATTTGTAGTGCCTTGGCCCATGTTATAGTTTTGTCCAGCATTCAACCATAGCAGCAATGCTCTGACAAATTTCGAAGGCACCTTTTAGCAATAAATTAGGCCTGATAAGCACATTTTCAAACTGAAAGTCTTTTTAATCGATGCTAGGTTTAACAAGAAACATACTGGAGTGGGTTATGAACCTACAAACTCCAGAATACCATACCGATGCGCTACCAACTGAGCTCTCCAGCCAGATATATACATGTACATGTATATGATAATGTCTTTGTTAGCTTGTAAGACCCTATTGTAAATATTTAAACAAAACTTATTTTGTTCAGCGAAATAAAAATACAAAGCAGCCGCCTTTTTAAAATATATTTATGTTAAGATAAATGCCTCCATGATAAAAGCCATTTGTCACTATTACACCACATGTTTTGGTGGCATGGTCGCCTCTCACCAAGGTGACCACGGTTCGAATCCTGGCCGCGGATCACATGTGAGTAGAGTTGTGCGTTGGTTCTCTCCTGTGCCACGAGGGTTTTTATCCGGGCCCTCTGGTTTTCCTTCCTCCTGAAAAATCAAACACTTTCGATCTCAGGCTGTGCTCCGTGGTCATATATGGGTCGATGTGGCCGGCAGCCGTAGGCGCCTTTACGTGCCAGCGGCCCGACCACGTTGTAGCCGCGTCCTTCGCAATTCAGCATACCAGCTGCGAGTAAGGATGATTAGCCTCCCAAACTTAAGATCCGTTCTTACACACATTTGTTGACGTCATAGCAAGTATCCCTCTTGTCAATTTGCAAAAGTTGAATACATGTTCATGTTCATCTCAACTGTGATGTAACTTGCTGAACTGGCCTTTTAGGTTGATATGAGTCTTTAAGTTTTTTTATCAAAAATTGTCATGGCTTTGGAGAAAACCACAAACGACAGTGTGGGTCCTGTTAAGAAATATATGTGTATATAAAAATTTGTATTCATAAAAATTTAAGTCACAAAACGTAGTTATGCACTAGATGCAATCCGTCCATTCTTAAAGAACCTTGGTAATTGTACATAGAGATTTCAGTGTTATAAGTAACACATTTTATAAGAGGAAAATAATATAAATACATGTACAAATTTTGGAAATAAAATCCGGTATGCTGTCCATGCTTTGTACTCCCTGCAAAATTGACTTTCAGTATTTGAGAGCATTTGAGAGCATTATCAACATGTTGTGAAGCAATAAAGTTGACAACAAAATACCACAATAATTTGTTTTGTCAATGTTTTTGTTGGTACTGTTTACAACAAAGAATGATTCCAATGTGTTAAAAATGATGCCCTTTCTTTAAAAATTCAGACTTGTGTTTCGAATTTTATACTTTCTGGACCCTAATCAACTAACTTTGGATGATTCAGGGAAAAGTTAAACAGAATTGTCATCACAATTTTTTTTACAATATCTAGTTGAAACTGCGTTTTTTTGTAGATGTCAACCTGTTCCGCATATGTGATGCGATCAAGCTAAATGAGTCGTTTGTCGGGAACTTTCATTTGGAGATTCAGGCCAAAATAGGGCCACTTGATCACATCACATCTCTTGGTGTTTGGACGTCCATAATTTTTGAACTAAAGATGGTATCAGCATGTGGTTTTCATGCCAGTAATGCTGAGATTGTGCTCTTTTCAAATCTGTAAAAAAAGAAGAAGAAGATTTACCAGGGTCAACAAACGACTCATTTAGCTGGATCGCATCCCATACGTTTTGACAAAAAGACTCAAAAGGAAAACTCAAATAAGGAAAAAAGTAGGACTCGGGTTTTATCAGTTCTCTTTCTTCTTTCGCTGATAATTTATTCTTATAAAAGGTTTTATAACTCTTCTACAACCCAGCCAGTGGTGAGATGGCCTCGGTATTCGGTGGGTCCATTCTGGCTTCAAAGACAGAAAACAAAACAAAAATATTAAATAGCTCAAAACTGTACAACCATTCATTCAAAAAACTAAATAATTAAATAATAAAGTCAACAAGCTGCGGCCTAATGCAATACGAGTACAGATGAAAAGCTGGATATGGGAAAACGAACTCAATACAGAAAGGAATGGATTCTGTTATTTAATTGTGTCAAGTCACGATTTACAAGTGAAATGAGGCATTTCTGGGTTTCTATACTCGACTAAACCATTTTGTATGTTCAATTTATTATTATTTTTTTTACAGAATTTACTTAAGAATGTTTATAGCCATTGCAAGAAAGCAGTGTTATAATGGACATGTGAAAATATCAACAGAAACCCCTTTTTCTAGAATAAGTAAAGCATTCTGTAGTCCAGTCCATACAAGTTATTGCTAATCGTCCCAACGGAAGTCACATGACAGGCTATTGGAATGAACCATCACAAAGGCATACTTCAAATTGTTAATGTTTATCCCCCTTGTGACTTATGACGACTTGTGACTGACTTGCAATTGACTTGTGACCTGACCAATAATTACCTCGTGATTGACTTGACTTGCGATTGACTTGCGATTGACTTGTGAATGACTTGTGATTGACTTGTGATTGACTTGCGAATGACTTGTGACTGACTTGCGACTGACTTGCGATAGACTTGTGACCTGACTAGTAATTACCTTGCGATTGACTTGCGACTGACTTGTGATTGACTTGTGATTGATTTGTGATTGACTTGTGATTGACTTGTAACTGACTTGTGACTGACTTGAGACTGATTTGCAACTGACTTGCGATTGACTTGTGACCTGACCAGTAATTACCTTGCGATTGACTTGCAACTGACTTGTGATTGACTTGTGATTGACTTGTGATTGATTTGTGATTGACTTGTGATTGACCTGTAACTGACTTGTGACTGACTTGAGACTGACTTGCCATTGACTTGTGACCTGACCAGTAATTACCTTGTGATTGACTTACGACTGACTTACAATTGACTTGTGACTGACTTGCAACTGACTTGTGATAGACTTGACCACAACTCTGCAGTTATCTTGATGTCTGCTGAAACAAATTCTTATTCTCTACATAATCGTACACCCCAAAAAACTTGTATACTGACGGGATCTCGTTAGATTAGACCAACGAAAGACAGATAATTTGGGAGATAAATTTCTTCATCCAGTGTTACATCTGTACTCATTTTGCGGCAGAAACTTGTTCCAGAAAAAAGGAATAATAATATAACTCAGAGTCTGTGTAACATTAAAACTCTAGTTCTCCAAAAGTTTTAACACAAGTGCACTCCATTACTCACAGAAATTTATTTTAAATAAAACCTCTTTCAGTGAGTTTCATAACTATGTCACGTGCCCGAGCACACGTACTATATAAAGATACAAGTTTCGGAGATTTCAACAATCTCCTTTCTTTTTTTACAATATCACAATTTTTCACACAATCCGAGACAAAGATCCAATGAAAGTTCCTCTGTTGATAACATATATATGAACACAATCCACAACAGGGTTTTTTATCAATTTTTTTTCTCCTTAAAAAAAACAAAACCTTTTACCAAAAAAGAAGATCAAACGTTTCACTGCACAAAAACAACACGTACACCATGTCCGACTACAGAAAAAAATTGCCGAGTTGGTTTCGACAATCAAAAAAACGGAATGGTTGAAAAAAAAAAGGTTCTTTGTACAACTACACAACATATTGGCAAGAACAGAAATCTTCTTAAACATGCGTCAGTACTATTTATACAGTTTTAAGCACAGTTTGGGGTCGTAGGTCAAGCAAACTCTGCGTAACCAAGGTTAAAATACTAAGCATGTTCCATCTTTGTAGCAACATAAAGTCGTTGCAATTGTACACAATCTGGCCCAATGTTTCAATTTCGTGACCCCCAAAAAAAACGGATGGAGAAAGATTTAAGCACTTGTCGTAACCAATTCCTCACAAGTCAATCCGTACGTCGATGACGTCTCAAGTCACAACACCAACTATTCAAATGACATTAACAAAGCTATAGACCGTTCTTTCGTTTGTAAAAATTAAACACCATTTTGTATGGGTTGCAACAAGGGCGTTCATTCAAGCCATAGTTGGCAACAGATTTTGCCTAAAATTGCATATTAACCAGTTCACGCCGGGATTATTTCGACAAGAACGGAACGAGGTGCAGGATTACTTTTCACTCGACCTCAAGCCAGGTGGGTTGAAGCCATCACCCTCGGGCAGCACACTCATATTTCCGGCCTCGCTCGCTGTGAGCGGGTCGCCGACAGATATTTCCGGCCTCGCTACCTGCGTGTTTATCTGTCATCCGTTCCGAATACCGCAAAACTGTTGTGTGTATACACGGCCTCCGGCGCGAACTGGTTAAGACCCTCATCATCTAAGACAGATGCATTTTTGTTAAGGTTTCAGTAGCGTTTGTTGGTTATTTTGTATTTTCAACAATCCAATGATATGTCTGGAAACATCAGTGAGTATTTTTTTGTTTTTGCGACGTTGACCTTCCATAGTGTGCCAACTGCAGGTTGGCAAAGAGTCCCAACCACGGGTGGGCAAAGACAACTCTATTCCTTGTTCGTCCCGTTTTAACCAGAGACAGGTCTTGTAATTTGACTTGTGATGGTCTCGACTACAACACTGCTAACCAGATAAAGGGATACATTTAAAAACTTCCTCTAACTAGCTAAACTAATCCAGATACTATTTAAACCAGGTTGTAAATAATCCAGGAAATAATCTCAATTATTCAGTCCATTATCTTAACTCATGAAATCAGCTTACTGTGCTTCGGAGGGTCTAAAAAAATTAACATGCATTACTTTCTCTTTCACCAAATTGCCAAAAGACAAAAAACAACATGCTCCTTTACAAGCACAGATTTATATATTTTTTTTTTCCTTAGAGATTTGCCACTTAAACAAATTGGAAATGAAACCACCACAGACCAAAATAAATAACGAAATCATTAAAACATGCACTAATGAAATAAACAATCTCTATTATCAGCCATTTTTAAAAATGGTTTTCAGGATTTGGAAATTGGTCACCAGATCTTTCGAACAGAAACCTTCCATTATTTTATGAAACAACAAACTTGCACTTTATTTGTTTTCATTAATTTTGGTTATGCCAGCAG